TTTTGTACCTGGGGTCGTTTTCGTCCGTACTACGTGACGTTTAGTGGGGCGGTACACAAATTGTGGGGCTTCAAAAGGCATTGGAGGAGTCCATGAGGACCCCATGATATTTGTACCCCCCCTTACTCCGACCGTTGCTTGACCGTCGTCCTGCTGCCTCCTTGCAGAGATCCGCTGCCCCGAGCCCGTGCTGGCCAACCACCGCATCCTCACGGTGACCAACAACGACCGCCAGTACGGGCGCACGCTGATCCGCACGGCCGAGCACGCCGCCTCGTCCTCCAGCACCACGTACAAGATCGGCGCGCTGGCCAAGTACCAGTGCGAGCGCGGCTACAAGGTGGTGGGCGAGACGCTGTCCACCTGCGAGGAGAACGGCCAGTGGAGCGGGGAGGTCCCGCAGTGCATCTGTGAGTACAGAGTAGAGGCACTCCCCCACTCGACAGTCATAATAACATCTAATATTTATTTATTTTGTAATTTTTGTATTTTTTTCCGGAGTTATGTAAAGTGATTACTAAACGTGTTTCGCGAAATTTGTTTTAAGTTGGCGTTGTCAGACTATAGCAGGGCCCGAAAGGGCCACGGCTGGGCGCCCGGTGCTTAGGTGACCTATTCGACGCGGTCGTACCCTTTTCTCACTTTTCTCACCTGTTTGCATCTTTTCTGCGCAGTCGTGGACTGCGGCATGCCCAAGCCCACGGCCCACGGCCGCTTCACGCTGGCCTCCAACATGACGTACTACGGCGCGGCCGCCATCTACGAGTGCGACGAGAACTACGAGCTGGACGGCCACGCGCGCCGCCTGTGCATGGAGAACGGCACCTGGAGCTCCGACATGCCCGTGTGCAGAGGTGAGGATCACGACGGCGACCTCGGCAAGGAGGCGTCAATATTTGGCATCATCCTGAAATTCCGTCCGTCATTCTCCGGGGATTCATTCGGGAAATGGTGAGAGCTCGGCGCCTGCGAGACTCGGGGTAGGCCGCCCCGCAGTACACGCATGCACTGCAGGCGAGGTGTTGCCTACCTACTAGGCGCCATGAGAGCTTGCATCGGCTGAACTGGGCAGTTTCGCAATGACGGACGCACTTCTCTGGACGAATCCCCCGTGTCAGCGGGTCGGTTTGTTTAACTCTTCGAGCCTGGAACTGACCCTTGCTTCGTGTCGACAGAAATACTCTGCCCCGAGCTGGAGAACGAGAACGGCATCACGGTGCAGGTGTCGACCCGCAGCATCGGCGGCGTGGCCCACTACCAGTGCGCGCGCGGCCAGTACATGGAGGGCAACTCTACGAGGATCTGCCTCAAGCGGGGACGCTGGAGCAGCAAAATACCGAAATGCACATGTATGCTTATCTGGAGCTATGGCTGGCTGTGATTGCTTTTTATGAGGATCTGTCTGATTTATTTATTTTAATTTGTCTTTCAGGGGTGGACTGCAAGCATCCAGGGCCGATTGAGAACGGACGTGTGATTGTCATGAATGAGACAACAACGTACAACAGTGCTGTGGAGTATCACTGCGTTCCTCACTTTGAAAGAGTTGGTCCTTACTTACGGAAGTGCATGGAGGATGGGCAATGGTCCGGTGAAGAACCAACTTGCCAATGTAAGCTTTGCTGGTCAATTTGATAAGACCTGTCTGGAATTAGCATTTTTATATTGTCATTATCACCTTATTTTCCTTTTTCAGTGAGTACAGGGGAGGCAAGTGAAGCACAGAATTTGGGTCTACCCATTGGTATTGGGGCTGGAGTTCTACTGTTCCTGTTACTTGTGTTAGGCCTCATCTACCTTCGTCTGTAAGTACATTCTGAGCTCATCATGAAATGTGTTTTTTTTCTAATCATTATGGAAATTTTAATTTTACACCTATGCTGTTTGTGTTATTTCAGACGTAAGGAAAGACCTATTAAAAATACTGAAAATGTTCAGGCTGCGTTAAGAAAAGAAGATCAAAATGCTGCCGTTATGTCGTTCTCTACCCTTAATGATGGCACAAATGGTGGCGTGACCCACCTCTCATCAAATATCTATGAAAATATTCATGACCACAGCGACAACATGTATGATGCTCCTTATGAGGAAACTGAAAGGAGAAATGGAAACCATCATTATGAAGCTTCCCCTGTTAGTAGGCCTGGTAATGGGGCAACAGTAACTATCAATGGAGTAGCTGTTCGCTGAGACTCTTCCGTAATATGGTTTTTAATTAAGCAATTATTATTTTTTAAATCAAAGTTATTGCTTGGAATGGAGAAAAAGAATCAAAGAAAGACTGCTTGTAAACTATATTAAGATATGAAGGTGTTTTCTTGTGTGTATTTATCAGTGGAAAATACCAAGACTCAGTTCTTATCATTGCGTTCTTGAACTCCCACCGAAGCAAATTCTTGTCAGGTCCTTCAGAGCCTTTTCTAGTGCCAAGTGGATAACAAAACCACACCAATTTTAATCTTTAAAAATGGTCAAAACTGCCATCAGGTTTTAGGAGGCAAAATCTAAAGAGGCCCGGTGAAATCTTTATTTTGAAGTGAAGGTAAATTGTCACTTGTTCTCACAGACTGAATTATCTTTCTTTTATGTTCCTCCTTAAATATTAGCTCTCACAACCCAGAAAGTGCTGAATGTGGTCATATTTTTGCCTAATATACCTAACAATCTAGAAAATATATGAAACTAGGGACTCACCTCATTCAAGTCATTTCCATTCTGTGGTTGATGTTTGTTAATATGTTAAAATTGAAACTAACCATTGTTATGTGTTGCATTTATTCCCATTTTTCTGTTTCTTAATACAATTTATAAGAAATAATAATGATGGCTTCATTGCCATTGCTC